CCATTAACGTAAAAACTTAAGAGCTTATGGAGAGAACACTCCCCGGCTTGGACGAGTTTCCACCCGCCATTAACGTAAAAACTTAAGAGCTTATGGAGAAAACACTCCCCGGCTTGGACGAGTTTCCACCCGCCATTAATGTGTTGTGTTTTCAATGTTTTGCACAGAGTGTTGCTTTTGTATTGGAAACAATAAATGACGTTACATTGCAATATATATAAAAACTCCATGTGGTTTCTCTATTTATTAGTTACATGATAGTATTTATAGTTACTAATGAAAAATTTGTTCATTTTGAGGGATTCAAGTAATTTAAATCTATTGTAGTAATCTAGTTTATCACATGCCTTAGTTAAATTTAACAGTACTAAATCTGTCAATACCATGTAAACGCTCAGCGCTGGTAATTAGTTTGTGACGACCGTTAAATCGAGTCTTATGTTTGTTGTGCTTTCTTAAGAGAGGTATAAGACTTATCAAACTTATTATACTTAACCAATTAAACTTGATAATTTTTTATATTTATACAAACAGTTATAAGAGAATTGTGCATGTTTTAATGTTTTAGTTAATGTTTATAATTCTTGTTGTAAAGATTCTTGTTTTAAATTCTTTATATACAAGTATTTATCCATAGATAGAGTGATTGCGTGCAACGATGTGATAGTCTTGGTCTCGTAATTTATATGGGAATAATTAATACTCACATGTTAGTTGTCAGTATGGTTTCATATGAGTAATATTATGCACATAAATCATACAAGATATAGTCCAACAAATTATATAGCCATCCAATGGTTGTTGTGGTTTTGTAGAAAAAGTATATTAAACTGATTTCATACGTTTGGTATAAGAATCCACAAATAAGTAATGTTTTTAAGATTAAATCTTTGTTTAGTATTTTTGACAACATTTTAAGTGTCATAAATATTAATGATTATAAGTAGTCAGTAGTATAACCCAGACGCCGTCATTTCCCGCGCTGACCAACTTTGGCCAGTGCCGCGGAGGTCCCCAAAACAGGTTTCGGGTATTTGACCTATTTATATTTACTATAGTAATGTATGGAGTAATGATATACATAACTACAAGCGCAGCATTTCCCCATAGCGTACGTTCGGCCGCCATTCTAAGAAAGTGGCCAACGGCCAAATCACCAATTCACCCGTCGGTGAATATATATTAAATACTAACTGGTTTGATAAACACTTGTTATCCAAAGTCACCGGGGATGAATGCATACATACAGTGTATGCATCTAGCGTATTATGCATACTATGGGGGTTTGTAAATAAGGGCGCGGTCAACTGACCATGGTGACCCGCCGGCAGCGCGCAAGGCCATTAAAATATATAAAGGTATAGTCTATGCACGCATAGACATAGCATAGCATAGAATAGCATAATATAGAAATACACATGCATGTATAAAAATTTGACCTAGTTATAAACGTGCATAAGCAAAAATTATGTCAATGTTACATTATATAATTAAAGTATAATTAATATATATAATAATAAATTATTAAGACAATTTAATTAATGTTGACTCACCATATGAGTTGATTCAAGTGTTAGGTTAAAGCTAAGACAACATCTAAGCTCCAGATGCCTGAATCGCTGCTATTTATATATATTTAATTAGGTCAAATGGTTAATTTAGTTATATTGTTATTTACAAACAATTAATTTAATGGATTTTACCCTAAAAGCCAACCTATACCACGCGTATCAAATAGTGAAAGCAAATACTATTCCCGATGAAAACATAATTATCATGCATTACGACGATATCGCTAACAATAGGCAAAACAAATATCCGGGAAAGGTTTACAACGGGGCAACCGGTCATAACGGCACTGATGTCTATCACGGCGTACACAAGCATTACACCGGCAAAGAGGTTACACCCGAAGTAAGTAGTGTTTTATAATACAATATTATATAACTAAAACTTTTAAAAATATTATAATTAAAATTGCAAACTACCCGAAGTCATTACCCAGAGTTATTACCCAAAATAAATTGGCATTTAATTGATGGTTAGGATCAGATAGCTATTTAAACACGTTTACAGTTTATTATTTCATAATTATACAGCAATATAATTTCAAACATTAATAACTTTATAACAGAATTTTCTGAAAAAATTGTCCCGAGACAAGGGCCTGAAAAAGGCCGGCATGAGAGTATTGAAGAGTGGACCAAACGATCACGTGTTTATATTTTATGATGACCATGGTGGTCCCGATTTTGTCGCCTTCTTCGACAAATATTTATACAATGAACCCCTAATGAAAACGCTGAACCAAATGCACCAAGATAAGAAATACGCCAAATTAGTGTTTTATATTGAGGCTTCCAAATCAAATATGCACATAAAATTAACAATATTCATCAATAAAATTATTGTTAAAACTCTGTTTAAATACCAAACATAATAAATTTATAATATATTTTTTATATAAACCAATAGGCTTAATGTTTAATAATTTATTACTCACCAACATCAACATATACGCACCACCGCTCCCCTGCCCAACAAGCTCAGCCAGACTTGCTATTGTGACAAAGACCTTGGTACTGATATTGGTAAGTAACATACTATATAATATATATTAAGTGAAATACCTTATGTTTTTCAATGGATATTTTTGTGTAAATAACATAAGCAACATAATAAATATCATAAACATAATTAATTTCAATTCCATTAGCACAAATTAACACGATGATTAATTAATCTAGTTACGTTAATTCAAATAAACCAATACAATACAATACAAAATCATATTCATGTTACAACCCAATGATACTGTACAATGGCTGGGATGTGGTGGACCGGCCACTAACCGATTACCTCAATCAAATGACCGAGATGGAAGGCAGTAAAATGACCGAGCTATTTGCAGCGCTAAACGTGTTTGGCGAAGTTATATTGTCGGCCACACGTATAATTTTACACAACCAGGTATTTACTACACTATTCCGGGCGCCTATGGCTGTGTTTGATAGCAACCCTATTGGTATTTAATTATTTTTTAAAAATTATAAATAATTTTACCATGTTTTATCATTTTAATGCATGATTAATTTAACGTTATTTATTTTTAAATTGACCAGGCAGAATTATGAATAGATTTTCTAAAGATGTGAGCGCCATCGACGAGGTGCTGCCTAACGTGTTGTACAAAATGAACTTGGTAAACGATAATTTTATTTATTTAGATAGTAAAAGTATCTATTTAATTTACGCATGTTTGCTATCTAATAACAGGGAAGTGTCACTAATTGTGTGTACAATTAAATTGATTAATAATATAATAAATTACAATAATAGTAATAACAAAAAATAATATAAAAATTATAATTAAAATATTTAGATGTGTCATTTATAATATAGTAAAGGTCGTATGCAGTTCTGCAATATGGTTAATTACTTTTTTAGTATAATTTGTATATGAACACCATAAGCATTTTCTCAAATTATACGACTTACGATATTTTGAGTGATATTGTGTTATATAATAATAATCAGTATATTGAAAAATATAATAATTATCTAAATTTGTTAAGCAGAAAAATATTTTAAGCATATTTATATAAATTTTATGTTTACGTCCAAATCTTTTTGAATTATGTAACTTAATATGATTAAATTTTTGGTGATTAAATATGTGTGATTGTGTTAATGATCTTTTTGGACCACGATTACATTTATATTTCAATTTAAGGTGTCTATTAATTAAATGTTTATATAAACTAAGATATGTAAATATACGTTTTTTAAATGGAAATAGATTTAAACAATAATAACAGTATAAAGTATCATTTTCATGAACTAACTTATTATGAAACAAAAAATTTTGAGCTATATTTTATTATTTTTGACAACTGTTATCTTGTAAACAACATTTAAAAAAATTAAAATAATATTTTCAATGCCTGTAAGTCGATCCAATTCTTGTTTATTAGTTATTAACGGAATATCATTTTTATCATATTCTGCACGTATGACATTTTCCGGGATTTTATTATTCTGTATAAATATATGTTATAATTAAAATAGTAATATAACAAACATTACTCATAATAAATGTTGCGCTATTTGTAATTATAGTCTACCCTTTAGTATTTAATATTAATATATAAATAGTACCTCGATCCAATATGAATGTTACTTTATATATAAATCATTTTATTTGATAGTATAGATAATATACATAATAAAGTAATTTTACACATACAATTTGAAAATATCCTGGATGATCATCTTTGCTAATACCTCTGCTCAATCGAATATCGATATTTAATATATTTACACAATTACATTAAATATACAAATCACTTCAAACAATATTTTAACTCAGAGTATATGAAAATAATGCGATATATAAAAAAAATATATCGGTATTTATATAAAAATTATAATGAATTAATTAATACAAATTATAATAAGCATTTTATAACAATAAAAATAAAACAATAAATATCATAATATAATAGTAATGTTTACAAAATGTACTAATTTTTCAATTTAAAAAATTATTATTTCATTTAATGTATAATTATATTTGCATATTTCTATTCATGATTTTAATCATAAAATTTTGAATATAAAATGTGTTCTATAATACCATGATTATTTATTCTTTATATTAAATATTCATTAAATCAAAGTTCAAACTTAGGTCATTATTTTATTAACAAAATAGTTATATAAACAAAAAGCGATTATACAGTTAACGTTATATAAGCTTAAATGAACATTTAATATAATATTTATAATACTGAATAAAAGAATATGTAAACAATACACATTGTCATTTAGTCGTTGTGACTGTAATTAAAATATGTATACAACATGTACTGTATTACATTGTCTAAAAATATTTGTTATTGTAATTATGAATAATAATTAATTTTTATTAATTATTTTATTGACATTCATTTTCATTTAACATTGAAACAATGGCTTTATATTACTGTCTCATCTTTTCCCTGCTTTTGTTTCAAACAATTTTAGCACAAAGTATGCATACATTTAACTCATACTTTAATTATGGTTAATATTAAAGTAAACTAACATAAATTATATTTGTTACATACATCCCATAAACAGCGGCTAACAATTACAACGTATAAAACTCCCGGTGCAAAGTATTCATATCCGAATCAATGATACGACCAGCCATTTACCCCACAAATGACCGGTTAATGTCGACCGTTGACTACTTCAGCACTATATGGCCAGAAGCTGTACACAGAAGCCGTTATTAAACGTGCCTGCTGATGTCTGGGTGGTCACTATACTCAATGATACGGGGCTTTAATATCCAGATTAATTGTTTGATAATTATTAATAATAGTAATTTATATATAGCTTTATATTTTTAACCATAATTCAGTATAAATAATGTGGTTTATAGGATCGTTCGGCTACCCCCACCCCCTAATTTAAATCATATTTAATATTAACACTTTGATTGTATGTGCTGTTAAACAAACAGATTAATTGTAATCAAAATTATAATATATTTGTTTGTAAAATTATGTATTAAAAATTTATATACAGTAGAGTTATAATACAGTTTCATACAATAAATTAAGCGATTATAATAATTTTGTAGCGAATGTTTTGATTAAATGACTTGAATTTAATTATCACGTCATTTTTGCTTTCAAAATCTTTAATTTTGACGATTCTCTCACCGACGAGTCCACCAGATTTAAGATCAAGTACAATCTTTATAATAAAATTAAAATAAATATTTTATAGCATTAATTAAATATTCATTGAATTTGATAAATAAATGTATTCATTGCTATTAATTTGAGATATCAACCCATAGGGTATTATGTAAGTTTCTTAGAAAGGGCGTGGGTTTACCTAAGTAATATTTCATGCTATTTTGAAGTGTACCTAAGTCAGAGACCCCTCATTTAATACCCCATGGGCGTTTATGTGACAGAATACGGTATTGATGGTGTTATACATACCACGCCAATGATTGCTCGATTCAAAACTAGTCACATACTTCTTGATACCTTTACCATTAAGCTGATCCCAGTTTTCAGACACATTTAGTTGTCTTACCACTTGATATTTGGTGGTCCGGTTGCCTTTCACATCCATTACTGATGTGGATTGATGACTAGCATTTTTAATATGCAGTTCTACTTTTGCATACAAAACACCCAGATCGGTTCGCCAACTATCGATTATGTCCAAGATGTCCTGGATATCTTCCCGCATAATTAATAAATAATAATATTTTGTATAAAATAATTTGCAAAAAATATTGTTATTGTTATTGCAAATTGTCTGCCTGTGACTGAGTTATTCACTAGCAGACAAACCGCGACTCATAGATCAGTCACATGTACAGTTGGTTTACTCTACAGTCTAAATAAGTATTTTTAAATTAATTATTGATACATTTCTACATGCTAATACGCTCAACAATATTTCTCAAATCCAGGGTATTCTCCAAACAGCCGGTCTCTACAGAATGATACATAGCCTTTTGAAGTACCCTGAGCTTAGACTTGGTCAATTGGATGACCACATTTAGGAGAGCCCCCGGGGCCTAAAGTCACAGAACAGGCGCTTAAATGCATATTAACGCTACACTTGCTTTGATTGGGTGTGACTACTTGTATGCGCGGTTGGCGCCAGGTGTCCACACTTCCGGTGCGAGTCTCAGTCAACATCTCTTCCAATGACAGCACATCCCGACCTCCGGAGCCGTCCTCGTTGTTATGACAACCATAGGTGGGCTAAACCAAAAAAGCCCGTAAGGCCGGTTGCTGGCCATGCATTGCGGTCACAGCTATAGCTGACATACAGCCCCGGAAGGCGGAACAGTGAGTGCCCGAGTAGTCCATAAAAGCGGTGTTAAGGTAGGCATCGGCGCCGTATGACAGTAATTGTCGAATGATGTCCACTAGGCTTGAGCTGGCGGCCTGAACACTACCCACGCATTTGCTCCAACTTTTTAATAAACTGCCTACTTGTCTTACTGTCGATACTACCGGTTCCGCCAGACGCCTCTTTACTACCGGTGACCGACGCAGTCATATTTGCCATATGAAACGCCGGCAACGATAGGGCGCCGTTAGCGGTACGGCCGGCAACCAGTTGTGCGAAGGGGTGCAAAACACCCCAATAGTCGCTATTACCACCAATACAGGCGTCGAGTAAAGCACCGGTAAGTATGCACTCATTGGCGGTGGTGGACAAACAATGCAGTATTAAATCCTCAAACAGGGTCTCTATAAGGCCGGCCTTTGTATTGAATAAAGCCAGGCTGTTAAGCATTAAAGGGGTGGCCATTTTTAGTAGCCGGCGGTCAAAGTAAGTGAGCGTAACAGTAATAACGCCGCTGTGTCCGCGTTGTAGATCATGGCTGTCGACGATAATCAGGGAGTCGTCGCTGGGAAGCATACTCCAGTCTTTTGTTTTGGCGCCGTATTTAACAAATAGCTCACCCGGTTGTAGCCCAACTTGCGAAACACCCTAACCAAATTGTCGTAGTTTTTCAACTCGATCACCCGACCCAACGACGTATACTTTGTAGCCTTGTTGATTCACCGGATATAAACTTATTGTATATCATGGGTCGGGCGCCGGCCGGGAAGTATTTAGAGTTCAGGTTTGTCAAGCGGGTGGTGATATTTTGCAGGTCTTGAGGCCACTGGTGTTTACTGACGCCGGATCGAAAACCGGCGACATTATGTGCGATCATTTTGTTGAGAAAATCTACCTGTTTCTGTCGCACCCACTCTTTGCCCTGATCTAAGACCCGTAGTCCACCCAACTCGGGTCGTCTTACTTATCGTTACGAATGTCCAAATTGCCTCCCGGAGTGGGACAGGCCGGTTGTTGATGAAAGTTTAGGTAACTGTACGGCACCTCATACTTGAGATCTTTGCCGTTGTAGGTGTGACTGGCTGTACCCTTACTTATATTTATATAAAGCCAATAATTAATTAATTATGGTATTATAAACAAACCTATTTTGTACAAGCACACTTACCCTCTTTAGCCATAGTCATATGGTTGAGCACCACATCAACATAGATCCTAACTCCGACTTTATTACATTTTCCAACCATATCGGCGAAAGCCTTCTCTTCGCCCGAGCGGCCATTGATCTCATATGTGACAAGTTGGTAGCGTTCTCACCACAGTTTACGGTCTAGCACTGCCACCTCGGTTACCGGTGACAGTTGCACCCCTCCAAAGCCTTCGGGCCCAGAAATAGCTCACACTCTTTGGCCACCTCTGCGTACGTCCACTCCATTAGGTGTACTATTACTGATCGGTTGTCCTTAAAGTGTGGGTCACTGAAGGGACTGCCGGTGATTAGTGCCGGCGCTGCACATATGGCGATTACAAGCCCTACGATTGCTTGATTAAACATTTTACAATTGGTTTTGTAAAATATTTTTTGTTTAATGATTTTGTTTTTTTAACAATTGAATGAATAGTTGGCTGTTTTGTTAAGTTTTATATACTAGTGTCTATATTATTATCATATCTCTTGCCTGAGAGTACATACCTATGCTTTCACTCAGAATTAATGTCATTATAAACATATTTTAACATAATATTTTAATATTATAGCATCCGGGTAATTATTGAACATTATTTGAGTCCTATATTTTTATGTTAAATCATTAATTTTTTGTTTAGTTTTGCGCCACAAATATGTATATATTGCAGTGAATTCCTTATACATTTTATATTTTAATTGTATGTTTAAATGCTTTCATTTATTTATATTTTGTTTTTAAATATGTAAATAAGTATAAAATATTTACATTGTGTTATTTTTCAAATTAATTTATAAATTATCCGCAAACTAAATAAGATAAATAAAATATTTTTAATTTAAATAAATTTGTAATAAATAAATAAATGAAAATTAAATTTTATTATTAGAAAATAAAAAGTAAAATATCCTATTTAGAGTACATCATGATTGCTTCAACAAACATCATATTACCAATATTACTTAGTTATATTATGACCATTCACTGTACGTACGACCACAATGTACCATATCATATAGGCTACCATATCAATTAGTGGCCATCTCTGAAACCGATTTTATGGACAATATCATTGAATCCATGGCCATCGGAGGTATAAATCAAATCGACGGTAATTTAATCAATTTAAATATAATAACATTTGTTAACATAATTTGTATATTTAATCAGAAAAAAGCGAATCAATTGAACCGATGTTTGCGGACACATCAGTGGACAACACAACTACACTGACGGACACCACCGAAGACACGGACATAATAATGAACTCAAAGGCTATACTCAAGGATGTGATATGAGTGGGTAGGGAACTAGGCTTAATAAGTCTTGCCCCATAGAACCCCAGCAAGTCCAACCGCAATAACCGCCGGTCACGTGGTATAACGTACGGCACGTATATCGTACGGGAAGATATATTGTACACTACGGCTACTACTTATATTATAAAATCAAATAGAGAGAGAGAGAGAGAGAGAGAGAGAGAGAGAGAGAGAGAGAGAGAGAGAGAGAGAGAGAGAGGAGANGAGAGAGAGAGAGAGAGAGAGAGAGAGAGAGTAGATTTTGAGTTTACACATGTTTGAGATTTAGTTTAAATTCAATTAATTTGATAACAATTTTTTTTCATTTATACCTTAAGAACAGAGAATCGTATTTAAAAATAAATTACTAATTAAATCTAAACAACAATTTTTACAATTATATTAAAAAATACATATTTACGGCTAAATTAAAACACAACTGATAGCAAAATAATAGTTAAAAAACAATGGATTTAAAGTTAATTACAATTAATACTCATGAAAAGCAATAAAATGTGAGAAAAATAAATTAATAATAATGAGAAAAAACTGAATCCGTTGTTGTCGTCGCCGTTGGTGTGCGATTCAATGTCTTCGAAGCCAAAGTCGGAACCGATCTCATCGTCGCAAAACTCTTCGACGACATTACCGACCATTTCGACGACAACGTCAACGGCCGAGTCGTCGACCTCTTCCTCGTTTTCGTACTCCTCGTACACTTCGTCGTCGTCTTCATCACCGGCTTCGATGCCACCGCCATCGAGTCCGCCGTCACCACCTCCTAAACATAAAAAGCAAAAAATTAAAACAAAACCAAAATTAAGTCAACGTTGACCTGTCCGCCACCCATACCTCCGAGAATCAGACCACCATAATCTCCGCCTCCGACCTGTGCCGCGACCGCACCGACCACACCGAGATCTCCGGCGGCCTCGACCTCCTCAGCGTCTTCGGCCCAATACATGGCCTCCTCTTGGGCCAAGACGTGGAGTTAATCGAGAAATATGATCTCGTTAATGAAAGCCAACCATCAGATCAGACCCGAGGCGTTGAAGACATCTTACAAATTGGATGCGAATGAGTAGAACTCGGCCTCCGATGCGAAATCATTGAGCTCTACAAAAAGCCGAACGATTTTATAAACTATATTAACTTCAAATAATGTTTGGTTATAAATACAAACCGGGGAGTGACCGCTCCACTGCGGTCACAAAACAGTGTACGCAACTGTAGCGCCGGTTGCCGAAGAAGGCGCTGCGCCGGTAGTGTTCAATGCATTCCAGACAACAGAATGTGTGACCACAACCGCCGACTATCGGTTCCAATGGGGTTTGGTTAACCATCGGACGCCATAAGTCGCAGAGCTGACAGTATGCGAACGTCATTTCAAACAATTGATATGAAATGAGTACAAGAGTTGCGAAACAGTTCAGGTAAACAATAAATAAAAACAGTAATACTAAATTAGGCTCACTTGAGATAGAGTGGCCAGGTGGTACCGGGATTTGATGTCCACTTGGTCCGGGGGTGGGGTTATATTGATCTGGCGAATTATTCTGTAAAAATGGAAAATATTAATTTAGCATCATTTAATATAAATATTATAATATTCTTAACTGGTCAATTTATATTTGATTTTGAATAGCCATTTGATAAAGTGAAACATAATTTGCAGTGTTGTATTGATAGGGTAGCGAAGTTTCTTGCTGAATTTGTCGTAAAATCTGTCCTTGTTCAATTACATTTTCACGCTTGGACAAATTAATTGCACGTACTGTGTCGAAATCAAATTAATCCTATTCATCGGAATCAATTTCAATTAGTCTACCTTGATTAACTGGCCGCCCGACTACCCCTTCCCCCTAAAACTACCCCGACCCCTAAACTACCCTGACCCCTTACTGTACCTCGACCGATTCCTCTTAATGGCCGTGGTGTTGTGGCCACCTTACCGCGTAGAGCCCTACCCCGTGGCGTCCTAGCTAAACCCATTAACTCTTGATTTAATTGTGTCTGGAATTTGGGATATGTTACATCAAAACTTTCGGGGGTGTACCAGAACTCGCTGATCCATTCCCTGAATTTTAGCTTGGTCATTTTCAAATCGTCACGCCTTTTTGATCTACGGCACGAAACACAGCTGTATGGCCGCATGTTACGCGGGTTAGGTGACTTAGCTAGCTTGTAACATTCTATGCATATGTAGTGATTATTACAGCTGATTGGTCTCACGTTTAATATGGTTACATTCTCCAAACAAACTGCACACTTTTAGAATATATATATAAGTAATTAAAAATTTTAGCAATGTTCATATAATCAATATAAATAATAATATATAATTATATTAATATATTTACATTAGGTTGTTTTGGACATTGTCTGGTTCGGCAGTAAGGGATTGGGCAGGGATTGAGTGGCCACCAGGGTAATAGTTGGGGTTGCCGGGAAAGGTAGAGTGACCAGCATCGGAGGGTTAAGAGTGGGAAGGGTGGTTAGGCTGTCCGGATAGGTTAGAGTGGCCAGGTGAATATGAGTTGGAGAGGACATTGCACTACGTATCCATGCACTCGTGGTACCCTGTAGCTTGACCAGGAGTATCGCGCCAGTCGCCAGATTGACCATGGTTGCCATCCGGGCCACCCGGACCAAAAGTTTTCATTCCTCGTGCCATATTAATATTTACTTTGCAAATTTGTTAATAAACTAGCAAGTTTAATATTTAACTGTAAAAATAAAATATAATAATGCGAGTATTTATATTATTGTGCAAGGTTAAATGTTAGATTTAAGTGACATTTATTTTATATAATTTTATTATAGCACCGGAACAAAAAATAATTAATTATGCATGTTATATTTAGTAATTTTATATATAATATTATATACAATGTATTATTTAGATATGTATTTTCAATTAGACGGATATAATAATTAATAATTATACTTTATATTTTATTCAGTATAATATTATACTAACCCTTTTATTCCTTAAACAAGGTTATCATTATTAATGGTTCAATATATCAATTTATATTTAATTGACAATAATATTAATTGATGCAATTTATTAAATTTAACATGTGCACATAATTTTGCAATCTCTATAAAATATATTATAAACTTTTTTATTGATTAATTATATTACAATGTATTAAATTGTACTTTTTAGACCCAATGGCGAGTATATGGCGGCTAATCTGGTGTTTGTGGTGACCGGTATCGGCCAGCATACTGGTCACCCTAGTTGGCCAGCGCCTTAACCAGTGGGCAGTTCAGATAACTGACCCTTGTTACCCTTTGGTTACTCTACTGGCTATTTCGGCCACTCCGGCCACTATATGGTCATTTGTCTGTTGACCCCCACCCCCTGGTCACCCCCGAATTGACCGGAAGTGGCCAATCACGTGACTTCCGATTACAAAAATGCCCTACTTCCTACTGTTTTATAAACATATTTAATATATATTTTTTATATAAATTCTTAAAATAATTGGTTAGAAGTGTGACAGAGAAGCCGAACCATAGACCCGAAAAACTGGCCACAAAACACAGGTAATATTACTCTTCGACTGACATTTTTTGTGTTATAGTGTATATCACTTCCGGTTCTATTGGGAACTTAAACTTTATATAATAATTTGCACCTTGATTATTATTAACATCTTTTGAATAACTAAGTGTATAGTAGTGTTTAATGCATTCAACTCTATCACTGCACCGGGGATTACATTCACTATCAAAAGTAGTGTTGTATTCTTCGACAAAATACATTTTATTATAATTTAAAACACTCTCATCGATTTTATAATATAAACTGTATGGGTCTAAAGGCATGTTATCATTATACATTTTCAAAATGCATTCATCAATACAGTGTTCCATTGACTGACCATGTATAAAACATGACTTATTATATCCATAATTAACATTCATTGTAGTTTTCTTAAATAATACATCACACATAAAACTGGAAGCCATTTCAATGTTTATCATATTTTTACGATAAATATTATGAAGTTTATCATAATTTTTATGAATTACTATTATAAGATTATTAGAATTTATTCTTCGGACAATTAATTGAGCATAATAATTATGTTTACCATCGTCAATTGCTATTATATTTTCATTTTGATGAGAGCACAAATGAAAAAATAATGTAAAACAATAATGATATATATTAATAGATGACATCACATTGTGATATATTGAGTAACATTTTTACAATTAATTCTGCCGTTTATTGTGAAGAATATGCATTCAAACACATCTTCCGGTAATTTCAATGCCTGGAATTGTTCACCAATTGAGAACTTATCAAAATTATCCCAATATTGATTTCTAATCGTTTGGTTTGTGAACTTTTTTATTATATTATCATTAAGTAAATACATTTTAGAGAAACATATAGTAATCGCCGGCACTTGTAGTACGGATTGCGAGTCAAACCTGACATTAGTTTTGGTTTCGTATGAAAAGTATAATAAACTTATTTTATACGTTTGATACACACATCCCATCAAACATACTATTGTTGTCACGATTTTGAATAAATTT